AAAGAAAGGAACGGACCAGCAACTCCCGAGCATGTCCAATGTATCACAAGAGGACCTATTAAGTATCAATATCATATAGAGACAAAAAAAATAATGATTGCAGAGTTTTGAAGAAAACTGGTAATGGATTAAAAAAGGCAGTTATCTGACCCGGAACCTCCTAAGCACAAAATGCATAGGAGAAAGTTCCCACCGTTTACATTTCCATTGAAGAATATCTCAAGTGTTAATTAAGGGTCCGTTTGGTTCACAATCGGAATCGGAATCAGAATGATCTATTCCCATAGTCTGTTTGGTTCAGACAGGAATCAGAATGGGAATTGGAATAAACTGGAATGGAAAAGGGAATGGTGATTCCCTCAAATGGGGGAATGCCATTCCACTAGGAACGGGAATGGGATTCCGATTCTGCCCAACCAAATGGGCCCTAATTTCCTTGTGAACTACCTCCGAAGAAAAGCCCCCTCAAGGATGGGGATAGTGTTATTCTTTAACAACTTGAAGGGAAAGTTTGAAAGGACACCAGCTACCTCATCAAGGACCTTGAAGGAATAGGAACATAAATAAATACAATAACACATCAATGATCAAAAGTTCAAACCCAACTTTCTTTGACCATTAGAACTCAAGAAGGCATCCTTGAGGCCATTAAGAACTCTAACACCTCATACTCTTTTCAGCCTCTAAGGCCCCTAAGGAAACCAAAGTTCCAATATATACCAGAAGAAGCATCCAAAACAAAGGAAGCAATAGGAAGATCTGTAAAGTGGGAAGTGGAAATATAAAGTCTAGGAAGATCTCTAAGATGGGAGATAGAAGATATCTTACTGGAAGAGGAATTCTCCCCAACAATGATCCTCTCAAAATTTAACCCTACTGCTAGAGTAAGTGTTAGTGTCGAGTATGTAGGGGTATTTCTGTCTTTATACTTATGTTGAGGTTGCTGATCTGTAATATTAKATWAKAACTAGTGYCYCTYACTTAARTAAGGGCACATGTGTCTTTTCCATTATGTTAGTAATATAAAACATGTCTGGCCGAATGGGAGAGGTAATTTTTCTCTCATTCGAACCAGACCTTTCTTCTCTCCTTTTCTCCTCCTTTCTCTCTCTCTCTTTCTTTCTTCTTTCTTCTTCTCTCTTCTTGGATGTTATCAGACTAACAGAACTCAAGGGCAGGCCGAATCATAATATGGTATCAGAGCTCAATTAAGCAACTCGGATCTGCCCAGATTTCTGTTTTCTGCACACTCAGTCTAGGGTTTCTCTTGATTTCTCTGCCATCGATTGGAGATAAGGGAAAGAGCTGAAAAGGAGTGGTCGCCCTCTTCCCTTGGAGGTCTCTATGCCTCCAGTTGTGTTGTTCATGGTCGGTTGCTGTGGTTTCTAAGAAGCCCTCCCCTAATCGATGAAGAGAAGAGGGTTGATTCGTGTGGTGCAGTGGGTGTCTTGTGTGGTCTGATTTTTTTTTTGTGTGTGTGTGGTTTGTTTTTTGGGTGATGAGGTAAGAGATTTCTATGCATATTTTTGTTATGAATCAAATAAGAAGTATGTTCCAGATCGTATGGTGGGATTTCAGACTGTAGTGTGCTAGGGTTTATGTTGTTTTTAGTGTGATTCGAATGGGGACTAGTCCTCATATAGTGTGGTGAGATTTCAGGTAGTCGTGGGGTAGGGTTTGTGGTGTAAAGAGTGCAATCTTCAGCAATAACAAGTGTTGAAACCAGTGTGATCAGTGTGATCAAGTAGTGTGCAGTGTGTCGAATTCAATAATAACAGAATTCAGCAATGGGAGATAGTAGTGATAGCAAATCTAATGTAATGATACCTACTAATTACTTGAATGTTCAAATGACCTGCATTAAACTGAATAGAGAGAATTATGTACCTTGGGCTAAATCTATATAAGTTTTTCTGAAGGCAAAGAAGAAGGTGAAACACATAAGGGAGGAGAAACCTTCCACTGATTCTCATGAGTATGATGACTGGGAACAAGAGGATGSAYARATTATCACGTGGTTATGGAAWAGTATGGAACCCAAGATTAGTGTAAATTTCATGTTTCTTGACACTGCCAAAGATGTGTGGGATCATGCTAAAAAGTTGTATTCTGGTCAAGACAATACAACCAAAGTATATCAGCTGTATCAGGAATACTTTAATCTGCAACAGGGTAATCAAAGTCTTGAGGAGTACTATGGTAGTATGAGAACCATTCGTAATGAGTTGAATGTTTATCACCCCCTCACTTCTGATGTCAAAATTCATCAACAACTGAGAGAAAAGCTTGATGTGACTCAATTTTTTGTGGGGCTGAAATTTGAATATGAACCAGTGCGGTCTCAGATACTAGGAGGGTCAGCTCTCCCTTCGTTAGAAGAGGTGTTTGCTCGACTTCGGAGGATTTCCATTGGATCTACTGAAAACTCTAATGTTTATGATAGATCAGCCTTTGCAGTATCAAGGGGTCGTGGTGTTAGAGGTGGAGCTCGGGGAGCTCAGTCTAACCGTAGTGGTAGTAGTGGTCCGATATATGGCCAGAGCGGTGGTGGTGGACCTACATATAACCGTGGTGGTGGTCGTATTGGAGGTAGAGATTCAAGGGGAGTCCGTGGCAAAGGACGTGGCTCGGGTCCGAGGAGGTGTACTCATTGTAGTATGGATGGACATACCATTAATTATTGTTATGACTTGCATGGTCCACTCTCAACTTGGGCCAATCATGCCATGACTAGTGACACCAGTTTCAGACAGGAGAGTCGTTCAACTGATCAGATGCCTCCTACATCCACAGATGTTCTCGAGAAGGAGATTGTGAGTGTTCCCCGTGATGAGTATGAGAGGTTTGTCCAATCCACATCTCAGCAGAACACGGCTACTCTCGCACACTCAGGTATGGCTTGTTTGGCATCCACACCCAATCCCTGGATTATTGACTCTGGAGCCTCCGATCACATGACTGGAACTCCAGGTGTGTTTTGTTCCCTCTCTCATTGCTCAACATCACAATCTGTTACCCTTGTTAATGGTTCCACATCCTCCATTTGTGGTGTTGGCAATGTTAACATGACCCCCTTATCTTTATCCTCAGTTTTGTATGTCCCTAAATTTCCGTTTAACCTTATGTCTGTTAGTAAGTTGACCAAGTCACTTAATTGCTCTATTACTTTTTACCCTTCTTCGTGTGTTTTTCAAGATCTCAAAACGGGGATGAAGATTGGTGGAGGGCATGAAGCTGGTGAATAGTATTATCTTGACGGTGGTGGAAAAACATCAACAACTCTCCAGTCATCTCTCCTCTCCAGTGGCACTGTCGATTTGGTCATCCTTTGTTGAAAGTTTTGAAGTCTTTGGTTCCTTCGTTGAGTCAACTTTCTGTTTTAGATTGTGAGTCGTGTCGGTTGGGGAAACATCATCGTGTTCCCTTTAGTCCTAGGGTTGATAACCGTGTGTCGAGTCCTTTTTCTTTGATTCATTCAGATGTTTGGGGTCCTTATAAAGTGATGTCATACAATGGATATAGATATTGTCATTTTTGTTGATGATTATTCAAGGATGACGTGGCTCTATTTAATGAAAGAAAGGAGTGAATTGTTTATCATCTTCCAAAAATTTCTGAGATTCGCAACCAATTTAGTGTTCACATTAAAATTTTTCATTCCAATAATGGCCGTGAATATTTTATCTTCATCATTTCAAGAATACTTTGACCAACATGGCATTATACATCAGACCTCATGTACCTACACCCCACAACAAAATGGGGTGGCTGAGAGAAATAATCGTCATCTTTTGGAAACAACTGGTCGAATGGGAGTGTTAGTGTCGAGTATGTAGGGGTATTTCTGTCTTTATACTTATGTTGAGGTTGTTGATCTGTAATATTATATTAAAACTAGTGTCCCTCACTTAAGTAAGAGCACATGTGTCTTTTCCATCATGTTAGTAATATAAAACATGTCTGGCCGAATGGGAGAGGTAATTTTTCTCTCATTCGAACTAGACTTTTCTTCTCTCCTTTTCTCCTCCTTTCTCTCTCTCTCTTTCTTTCTTCTTTCTTCTTCTCTCTTCTTGGTTGTTATCAGACTAACAGAACTCAAGGGAAGGCCGAATCATAATAGTAAGCGTTGCTAAAATGTTGGAATATGATTTATGGATTCCCAAGGTACATAACCAAACCATTTCAATCATCTCTTCTCACTTTTTTGAGAGAGAATGGTTAAGTGTTTCATGAAATAATCTAGACATGAATACAGGCCTTGTTCAGTAAGGCACTAGACAAGGAAGGTATTAACTTTGTACAACCCGAAAACAAAAACCACTATTCATCCAATCATACAAAAAGCTTGCAATGATAAAAAATAAAAAACAAAAAATAAGAGCTAAAATATTCTTGAATAACTTGTGTGTTGCCACCAATGAGTATATCCTTCCCCAAATGCCTTTTAAACTATCTCTTCTGAACTAAACTTGTCTTCAAAAAGCCTCATCTTTCTTTCCTTCCAAATTGACTACAGCACTGCTGTTGGCACAACCTTACAAACAATCTTTACTTTCCTTAACAAACCACCCACATTCCAGCTCTTTAGCAGAGCCAACAAGTCCCTTCTCATCTTCTCACTTGCCGGGGCTATCTCTAAATGCTCCTATAGTGTACCCATTTCTAACCCAACTCCTACACTTCCTAGCCTTAATACTTATCTACATCAACATCCCCATTTTGACTAGACTCGTTCTAAAAATGTATTGTTCCTAATTACTGTTCCCATATCTTGTACTATAGACATTTTTCTTTTCCTTCCTTTTATCAGTAACTTATTTTGGTCTTATAGCCATCAAGTTATCTTCTTCCCTCATTCCGACTGTTACTTCTACTAAAAGTTGCACTGCATTTTTCATTCTTAATTTCTGTCATAAAAGAATGTACTAGTGAAAATGAAAAATAAAACTTTGAGAAAATTGAAATCCGTCTGTGTTTGTGAATGACAGAGAAAGGGGTACCTGCCCATGATACAAGAATGGCCCAAATGCAACCAGAAAAACCGACCCGACTACTGTACCCATCATCAAAAACTTCCCGATAGAGTTAACCAGCCCTCCCCGGCAATAATGCCTCAATAAATACACAAAATACACAGGCGCTGCAACCGCAAACAAGTGCTTGAAACACAAAAGCATTGCAAAAACAAAACCTCCCATCAAATCCCTTCCTTCCTCCAAATACGAAAGAGAAATCAGCAGAAACCCCAGAAGAAACCCATTGTACTGAAAATGCACATGATCCACGATAATGAGCGCCGGCGACCACACAATCAAAACCCAAATCATCCTCCGCTTGGCCGAATCAAGGCTTTTGGTCAATCTATAGACTCCATAGAAGAGACACAGATCGGAAACCATGACGCTAATCCTCTGAAAATAAACCACTGAATCTGCACTGTAGTTCAACCCATTGTGTAGGTCTACGATCTTTGTATCGACGAGATTAGCGAAGATAGACAGAAACCGTTCGAAGTAAGCGAAGAGAGGGGGGTAATCGAGTGTCCACGGACTCGTTTCATCATAGTACCATTGAGAAAGGGGAAGAGAGGAGGTGAGCGCAAGCCAATGACGATGAACTTCGAAGTCTGTACTTCGGTACGAAGGGATGAGAAGGAGCTTTATGCAGGTTGCGACTCCTGCAAACCAGATCAGCTCCTCTATAGCAGTCACAGAACCAGGAATCCTATTTTTCTCTTTTTCAGTTTCTTCTCTCGTAGAGCGGTGGGCAACTCTTCTCGAGCTCGTTAGTTCTCCTTCCATGGCGACTGCTGTCGGAGCCAAAGAACGACTGCTGCTACTGGAGCCAAATAACTGAAATTAGAGCTGTTGCCTGTTCGGGTATAACTTTAGGGCTGGAAACGGATCGTGATCAGATCGGTAATTAGGTAGATCCAAATTCATTAATATTCGGATATCGAAACTTATCCGTTGGATACTCGGATTTTTATCGAATCCGGCTTGCATCTTATCTCGACTATCTTACTCTTACCCATTAATAAAAATAAGAATGGCTCAATCAAACGACCCTGATTTCATTCTTTCATTTATACCCCTGCCATTAAAATATATTTTCATTAAACTATATTTCCATCTTATTACATTTTCAGAAATTTAGTAATGTAATTTTATTATTAATGTAATAATAATTATTAAGGTACATTAATTATTATAGTAAAATTTGTTATTTTCAAAATACTGTAATTACAGTAATTTTGAAATAACTGTAATTCCAATAATAATTATTAGTGTAGTTAAATTAATTATTTCTGCAAAATAATTATTACACTAATAATTATTATTGGAATTTTGATGTAATAATTAAATAGAGTAATCATTATAATAAATGTTTTACTATAGTTACAATTTCTTAAAATTAATTTTATTCCACTAACAATTAAATTGTGTTACTTTCCAAAAAAAACTATTAGAAATCAATGAATAAACAAAATTTTCAACCAATAATTTCTTTATAAATGTCATTTAAAATTAATTAAAATTTATAAAATTGAAAAATAAATTCAACAATTATAGCTCCAAGAAAGAGTTGGTGGAGTTTGCAAATTGGCAAACAAAATATCATAATTTTGGAGAACAAAATAAAAAATATATATTAATGTAATTTTGGAAATTTTCTTTAAAATGTAGTAAATAATTATTGAAACTTATTGGAATATTTTGGAAATTTGGGAATTTTTATTACATTTGATAGATTTTGGAAAATTATTTAAAATTTGTGTGATTTTCATTTTAAATTATTAAAGATAAATTAGTATTGGTAAAGGAAAACATTAATTTGAACCAATAATTACACAAATTATTTTTTTATTAATATAAATTAGTATAATATTGGAAATTTTTAGAAAAGGAAATTGATGAAGGAAGATTTGGTCCGACCTCGTCATCAATTAACACGTGGCAAAGGGAAACAGCTCAGAGCAACAGCGCGCCCAAGGCGCGAGCACCAAAGGGAGGAACCAGCAGTCCGAACTCCCTACTAGGAGCTCGAGCTCCCTACTGAGGACCCGAACTCCCTACTAGGGGCCCGAACTCTCCCTTAGGCCCCAAGCCTCACGAGGCAAATGACCCGAACTGGACTGCGTCATGGCAGTTCGGGACACTCCCCTATCCGAACTCAAGACTTCACCTCGCTCACAACTCCAGCACTTCGCCTCCAGGACGCTAGATTGAACAAACGTGCCATACCTAAAACCGAGGATGTCCGTATCCAAGGGCGTCACACCTGACTGACTTCGGATCTGACGCTTGACAGCCGCACTTCAACGGCCACCTGCCGCCGCCMCCTGCCACTGTCGTCACCAGCCGCAGAGACGGCTCCGACAATGAGAGTAGTGACGGTTCTGCCTAGCAAAGATCACATCCGAACTGGTAGGAGCTCAGAAATAATCATGCCCGATCTGACAGAAGCTTAGAAGTGAGTGCGCGAGGTGGTTATAAAAGGCCCCCTATCCCCCAAGAACAAGGTATGCGAACTTTGCGCCATCTGGTTTTATCTTGCCTATGAAGAATTCTGACTTGAGCTTCGGAGCATTCATACCGAGTTCCCCCCAGAGCTTCCCCATCTTCTCTGTTTCAGGTTCCCTGTAGTTCTGTTCAGAGGCAAGGTCATTGACAACTAGGACCAGCCGGATTGCGCACCATCAATTGGCACCGTCTGTGGGAAAGCTTGTAAAAGCCTCCCTCTAAAACTCTCATAACCTCTTCTTCCAAAAATCCCAACACTCATGGCTTCTTCCAGCAATGTCGGACGTGGCACAGAGATGAACACCACCGGGGAGCAACTCCAAGCCCCCATGGTGTGCATTGGACAGTTCCCCATCCCCCTTCCGGTGGACGGGATCCCCAGCTTGAATGCGCCTCAAACAGTGGCGCCCGTAAACCTTCCTGCCATGAGCATCCCTCTTCCACTCCGTGTCGAAACAACTTTTGCCGAACCAACTACAACTCCCCTGGCGACCCGCCAGAGCCAGTTTGACGACCTGATGCAATGCATGCGGGCAATGCATGCCCAAATGCAACAATTCCAGCAACATCAACTCCAGCAGCACCAAGTACTACACCACCTCTCTCAACAGCACTACTAGTAGCAGTTCCCCCAACTACCCCTGAACCAATCACTGCTTCCACCTCGGCACCCTGCTCCAAAGTCGGTTAAGGCCTCCCCTCAGGGTGGACGCCCCCACCAGGGAGAAGCCTCCCGCCCCCAGAACCCCCCTAACAGCCAGGCCTCCTCCCCAGGCCGAAGGGAAAGAAAAATCACCCCCGCCTCGCAGCTCACAGGCGGGTCAGGAACCTCGCCCGCAAGGTCAGCACCCCGGCGCTCCAGGCCCGAGTTCCCGCTCACAGAGAACCGATTCAGCGCCCTGGCAGCAGACTACCAACATTCCGGGCCCATCGAGCTCGGCAACACGGAGGCCAGCAGCGCCAGTACCAGGCCCACTTAACAACGAAGGTGCCGGCGAAGTCGCCGAACTGCCACCCGTGTCTTGCCCGAGCTCAAAGGTAAGGAAGAGACGAGCTCGGACGAGGTAAAAAATGGCCCGATTCTCTCAGTTCCTTCCCCCCTCGCATCAGAACTCCTGGCAGTCCCCATGCCCAGAGACTTCAAACTTCAACCTTTGGACAAGTATGATGGGTCCTTTGACCCCAATGACCACGTCGATGCTTTCCAATCCCAAATGCACCTCGCTAGGGCCAGTGAATCATGCATGTGCGTGGCCTTCACCACCACCTTCAGGGGGGTGGCTCACACCTGGTACAGGAACCTAGCCCCAAGGTCAATAAGAAGCTGAACCCAATTCATACAGGTTTTCACAGCACACTTCGTTACCAGCAAGCGGTGCCCCAGAACTAAGGAAAGCATCTTCGAAGTAGTCCAGAGAAAAGGAGAATCCATCTGGGGCTACATCAAGCAGTTCAATGAAGAATGCTTGCAAATACCACGATTAGACCCCGTAGTACAGCTCGCGGCGGCCAAGAGAGGAGTAACGCACAAGGAGTTTAAGTGGCACATGGTAGCCAGCCAGCCCGCGACCGTGGCCGAATTCCTCAAACTCGCGGACAAGTTCATGAGAACAGAGGAAGAGATAAACCAAAGGATCGAAGGCGGGGTCGAGAAAAGGAAAAGAGAAGGTGAGCCCTCCAACCCAGGTGACAGAAGAAACCCAGCCCGGGAGGCGAAGCCGAGCCAGCCATCCCGAGCCCCCTTAACAGTTTGGACGGATTACACGCCGTTAAACGCGAAGCGGACCGAGATCTTGATGACGATCAAAGACGCCCCGTACGTGAAGTGGGCACCTCGCCTAAAGGGGAATCCAAACGGGAGAAATAAAAATATGTACTGTAGTTTTCATAGAGATCACGGTCATAGTACCGAACAGTGTAATAATCTCCGGGACGAGATAGAGGGACTCATCTGTCGCGGATACTTGAGAAATTTTGTACAACATAATAATAAGGGAAGTTCATTACCCGAGCTGGGTGGCCAATCCGGTGCTGGTGAAAAAGGCAAACGGCAAGTGGCGCATGTGCGTCGACTACACCGATCTAAACCGAGCTTGCCCAAAAGACTGCTTCCCCCTCCCCAGAATTGACCGCCTAGTGGATGCGACCTCGAGACATGAGCTGCTAAGCTTCTTGGACGCCTACTCAGGTTATAACCAAATCAGGATGGACCAGTTCGATGAGGAAAAAACCAGTTTCATAACCGAGTTTGGCCTGTACTGTTACAAGGTCATGCCCTTCGGGCTGAAGAATGCCGGGGCGACCTTCCAAAGACTTGTAAATAAGCTATTTCGGCCCTTGATTGGCACGAAAGTAGAGTGTTATGTAGATGACATGGTCGTCAAGACGCAGTTCTCACAGGAGTTAATACAAGACTTAGATTTTGTTTTCCAAATTCTGCGTCGATTTAGCATGAAACTAAACCCCAACAAATGTGTCTTCGGTGTCACCTCGGGTAAGTTCCTAGGGTACATTGTCAACCGGCGCGGTATTGAGGTCAACCCGGACAAGATAAAAGCCATCCTAGATATGAGACCACCCCAGAAAGTGAAAGAAGTTCAGAGGCTAAACGGCCGCATAGCCGCTTCATGTCCAAATCGGCAAACCGCTGCCTGCCTTTCTTTAAGGCAATCAAAGCCAAAGGGTTTGAATGGACCCAAGACTGCCAGCTCGCGTTCGACGAGCTAAAAAGCTACCTCGCTACCGTGCCAACCTTAGCCAGACCCGAGGAAGGCGAGGTGGTCAGTTCAGTACTAATAAAAGAAGCAGATCGGGTCCTGCGGCCCGTCTACTATGTCAGTAAAATTTTGCAGGGAGTAGAGACGAGATACCCGCAGATAGAGAAGCTAGCGTATGCACTGGTAATTGCAGCTCGGAAACTCCGTCCGTATTTTCAGGCTCACACTATCGTGGTCTTGACCGACAAACCCCCAAGGCAAGTCTTACTTAAGCCTGAAGTTTCCGGTCGGCTAACAAAGTGGGCCATTGATCTCAGCGAGTACGACCTCCAGTATAAGCCACGAACTGCTATTAAGGCCCAAGCCTTAGCAGATTTTATCATCGAGTGCACGTTCAGCCTCGAAGCCCCTGTGCGGGTTGAGCGCGGGATCCCCAGTTCGGGCGAGCCCGGAGCTCCTAAGCCAATAGAGTCTGAACCCCGTGAAGTAGCAGCCAATAGAGTCTTACGTGGCCCAGGTGGCACGAAGTTGGAATACGCACTACGCTTTGAGTTCGCGGCATCCAACAATGAGGCGGAGTACGAGGCACTGATAGCCGGGCTGAACCTAGCGCA